GTTTCCAGCTACTTCTTTAGGAGCCCGAAGCAAGTTTGAGCTCGCCAAGTTTGCATTTGTTTGCAGACTGGGCTCCTGAGTTGTGATTTACTTTTCAGTGTTCATTCCTCATTTTGCAAGCAGCCTGCTCCAGACCTCTGATTTCTCTTAGTTGGTCAGACTTCTCATCTGTAACCCAACCCACGATCCTAGCAGAATCCAGTCAAAATAAGTGATCTGCTCTCAGGGCGGCTTGAATATTTCATGGTGGCCTGGATGGAGGCGGAGGACAGATCATTCTGCTCTGGGGGCAGGCGAGGCAGCTAATGGGTCAGCCGCAGGCACCAGATGTCCAGCGGCTGGGATAGATGACCCGTCAGATGAGGCCAGCAGACGACGATGCTTCAGGTGAAACATCTTGCTAAGGATAGGGATGCGTGTTTGTAAGAGGTCATGTTTTTAAATGCCTAATTTAGGTGGTCCCTTGATCCTGGACTTGGAGGGTCCAGTTATAGCCAGTTATAGCATTGCTATAACTCTTATGGCCTTATAGCAGCCCTTGAATGATCTTCTAAGAAACACACACGTACCTACCCCCCAGAAGAGGCTGGTGGAGCCCCCAATCTGCAGGTGGGTAAATTTGCTGCCCACAGAATTTAAATGACATGCTCTAGCTTACCCTGGAGATAATGGCAATTCTGGGATCTGATCCTGACTCTCTCTGTCTCCGCCTAAGAGAAGTGACCAGTTATTGGAAAGGTCTTGGGACATAGAGAGAGAGGGGAAACCTAGGTTCTCTTGCCATAACTTCCACTCACTGCTGATGACCAGATCACGTTCCCCTTCGGAGCTGCAGTTTCCATTCCGAAGAGCTCTTGGGATCGAAGATGTTATCGCCAACATGACTTTTCCTCCCAGCAGCAAATTAGGTGGGGGCTATGGCAGAGAAGGCAGGGAGGTGGACCAGAGGGATGAGAAGGCCATTCTAATTCTGTGCCTGAGATCTTCCACTCAGAGACCATGGTCATCAGTCGTGGGTGGAGAAATGAACTGCAGACCAGGAACCTGATTGTATGTCAGCTGTGTTTTAAGAGTTCAAATGAGGAGGGGCGCCTGGGTGGCTCAGTCGGTTAAGCGTCCGACTTCGGCTCAGGTCGTGACCTCACACTCCGTGAGTTCGAGCCCCACGTCGGGCTCTGTGCTGACAGCTCAGAGCCTGGATCCTATTTCAGATTCTGTATCTCCCTCTCTCTGACCCTCCCCCGTTCATGCTCTGTCTCTCTCTGTCTCAAAAATAATAAATAAACATTAAAAAAAAAAAAAGAGTTCAAATGAGTTCAAAGGTGGGGGGTGCTTCGGGTTAGAATGCCAGCTCTCCACTTCTCACTCACCCAGAGATGATTTATTGAGTGCCTACTGTATGCCAGGCACTGAGCTAGGTCCTGGGGACCCGAGATGAACAAGGCAGACACATCCCTTACCTTTTGGGGCCTACATTCTAGTCAGGGAGGGGAGTGCTATCCCTAAAAAAGGGAAGCTTAAGGAGTCACCAGGGTTCTTCAGGAAACAGAACAGGATGGAATGGAGGGACCAGTAGGAGGCATGTCCAGCAGAGAGGTGACTGTGAGTGACCTCAGAGCTGGACCTGAGGATGAGATGGAACCAGCTGGGAGGAGAGGGTCAGACAAGGCTACGTGCCCAAGTTCGGACGCCTTCAGCTAAAAGTAACAGAACACCCAAATGCAAGGTGGCTTAACTGATAAGAAAATTTCTGCCCTCCCTGAGCCTGTTTGTTCTTCTTGCACCATCTCCTGGGTCCCGTGAGGATCCGCCACCGCTCGGTATTTTAGGAGGTGCCCAGTGATGTCCTCCTTTCTCTCTTGCAACTGGGGAAACGCTCGAACGTGGTTCCCCAGGGATAGAAAGGGCCTTCGGTTCCAAACCCCTTCCACACCCACTGGGGCTCAGGAAACCCCATCTTGCATTTTGCCTTTGAGTCACCAGTCCCTAGAAGAGGACCTACTCTGGTCGGTAGCTTGGTCCCACCCACCATGCGGCCCAACGCGCTCGCTATCTCAGTCACAGTCACTAAGTGCTCCCATCCAAACCTCTTGAGGCTACAAGGTACCAAACGTTTTGAATTAATTAGCTTCTATTTTCCTTCCTGTGCATGTGCCTCGGTGCCTTTTTAGGGCAAGATTGACTAGAGGAATCCTTCCTGAATTCTGGAAGCCCTGATTCAAACTTGGAGTTAATTATCTCTAATATGCTGTGCAATTCCCTCTGCACCTTTTACGACATGGAGTGGAGGCACAATTTATCCAAGTCTATCACTTGAGGCTTTTTAAATTTTCTTGCTGAAAGAGGGGCGCCTGGGTGACACAGTCGGTTAAGCGTCCGACTTCAGCCAGGTCACGATCTCGCGGTCCGTGAGTTCGAGCCCCGCGTCGGGCTCTGGGCTGATGGCTCGGAGCCTGGAGCCTGTTTCTGATTCTGTGTCTCCCTCTCTCTCTGCCCCTCCCCCGTTCATGCTCTGTCTCTCTCTGTCCCCAAAATAAAAATAAAACGTTGAAAAAAAAATAATAATAAATAAATAAATAAATAAATAATTTTTTTTTGCTGAAGGAAAGTTATGGTGTGTGCCTTATAAAAGTATCCATTCCATCCGTCATTGCGTGTTCACGAGATGTTTATTGATATTGGGGACAGGCCTCTGTGCCAAGCATTGCACTGGGTCCCTCATAATTCAGGTTAACTTCTCCCAAGTCTGTCAGGTCAGTGGTCTTATCTCCACTTGGCAGAGAAAACAACAAAACAAAACAATAACAACCACAACAACGACAAAGTTCAGACTGAAGAGAAGGTTGGAGAAAAAAAAGCAGAATGAAGAGAAGGTTGGCATTTTTCGTTCTCACCCCCACTTTCTCGAATGCGTGCTTACCAGGCGCTGTGGACCTCACGGTTTCTTCCTTTGCTCCCTTGGCCCAAGAGTGGGTCCCAGCCTCCCTTTGTTGCCTCACCATCCCTGCTTTGTCCCCTAACTTTCTCGGCACCTCTCTACGTGGTCACTCCCCACAGATTGCTTCATCAGAGCCATGAGCAGTGAGTGGCCTTTCCTCCAGGACCCTCGCTGATCCACCTGTGCAAGAGCATGCAGCTGACAACAAGATGGCGGCTCTGAGACTCCACATTCTCTGTCCACTGTCGCTGTCACGCTGTCCTCCTGCCCCTGTTATGCTGAGAACTTGTTTGTTTGTTTTTCGAGGAAAAGAAAAAGAGCGCCTCCTTGAATCTTTGAATGTCTCTGCGGTTTTTATAGGAAATTTGGAAGGAAGTGGACCTTTTTTAGAATCCAGTGAGAGGGTGTGCGTTTCCCGTCCAAAATTCTATTCCAATTGGCCCAATTGAAATCAATCACCCGGTTCCTTTGAGACTCTTGTCCTACTGGAGATGCAAAGATGGCTGTGGGGAGCCATGTCAATTAAGTTTCCTAGGGCTCCCATTACGTAATATACACCCCGGGGGCTTAAAACAACAGATATTTATTCTCTCCCAGCTCTGGAGGCCAGGAGTCTGAAGCCACAGTGTCAGCAAGGCTGTGTTCCCTCTGAGACTCTGGGTAGGATCTTTCCTTGCCTCTTCCTAGCTTAGGGGGCTGGCAGGAATCTCTGCCCTTCCTTGGCTTGTCACTGCCTCGCTCTAGCTCTGCCTCTGTCCTCACCTGGCGTTCACCCTGTGTGTCTGTGTGTCTCCTCTTCCTGTAGGGCACTGCGTCCTAGCACATTAAGGCCCTCCCTACTCCAGCTTGACCACAACGAATTACGCTGTCAACAGCCCTATTTCCAAATAAGGTCTCTTTCCAAGGTACCAAGGGTCAGGACTTCAATGTGGCTTTTTGAGGGATGCAATTTAACAATAGCAGAGCTATCACGGAAGTCCATGCTCTCATTCGGACTCACACGGATGTCAGTGGCGGGGACTTAGAGAAGTACATGGTGGGATGAATCATCATTCTCATAGACCTAACAGCATCTGCATGTGCGTTCAAGGTGTACGTTATGTGTGCAGTGACTGGGGGATGTGGCAGACTTAAAAAAAAATCCCCTTGCTTTATCTTTCAGAGTAATATTTACTGATCTGTGCCAGTCTGTGCAACATGCAAGAGCAAGAGTGCCAGGGTGGAGGGACAAGAGAAGGTTGGGGCAAGTGGGGAAGGGTGTGGACAAAGAGAGGCTTTGGAGAGGCATTTGACAAACCCCAAGAATCAGCACTTCCCCCTCCCTCTCTCCCTCTCTTCCCCTCCCCCTTTTCCCCCCCCCCCCCCCTTCTTTCCTTCCTTCCTTCCTTCCAAGAAGACTATTGATCTGTTTTATGGTCAGTGATTCCCACATAAATGAATAAATAAATGATTTAACCAATTGGTCAATCAATCAATCCCGAATAAATATTTATTAAGCACCTATTACGTATCCTATTCTGTTGCGGACGATTTAAAAGGATATGCAAGTAAGGCATGGTGCACACAAAGATGACTGCTAACTTTTGCCTCTTCTCCCATAAACAGTGGAGTCTATTTAGAATCTGGACGGGCCTGTGGCTTGCTTCGATCAATAGAATTCAGCAGAAGTGAGCTGTGTGACTCCGGAGGCTGGGCCTTAGGACATCCGCAATTTCTGCTCTCACACCTCTGGCACACAGAGACGGAGAGCCCTGGAGACAGAGGTCACGTATCAGCTCCCTCTTTCCTTAGCAGGAAATAGTCCTGGACAGTGGCTAGGTTCAAATCCACTGCCCTCTGTTTTTTATTCTCAGAACGTCTGAAGCCTGGGTGATCATTCCAATAAGCACGGTTGGTCACATCTCTACCTAAGACCCTTCACGGCATCCCCGTTCATCCAGGAGAAATCTACGGACCTCATGACTTGCTCCTTACTCCTCCAGCCTCCCCCCTCCCGGCCCTCCATAACATTTCCCTGTGAGTTCCGGGAATACACAGGTGTTACCATGCACCGTGTTCTTACCTATTTCCGGCCTTTGCTCCCATGCCTCCTTTGGCCTGCTCACCCTTCTCTTCTCTGCTCAGCCAATTGTGCCAAGGTTCAATTGTCACTTCCTCCAGAAGCTTTCCCATCTCAAGGTGCTGATCCTCCCGTAGCTGAGAACACCCCCCGTTTACTGCTGGAGCCGCCCTGATCAGATTCCATTGTAATGGCCTGTTTATGTGTCTGGCTCTCCCACCGGACGGACGGAGAATTCCCTGAGTATTTGTGTCCTCCGAGCTGGCACAGAGCTGAGCTAGGGCTTTTCCCATGCATTACCTCATTTCTTAGCTACACTATTATCATCAGCATTTTTATTATTGGTGTGACTTCTCCTTTTGTAACAGCCTGCTCCTGGGGCAACACTGTCCCCCCCCAATTCCATAGATGTACTTCGGAAAAAGCAAACAAACAGTATTTCAGAATTGAAAAGCAAAATAAAGAAATAGGCCCAAGGTGAATATACAACTTCCTCTGGTAGTGGCTTAAGTGAGAGGACAATTAGTCCCCAGGTAGTGTTTACAACGAAAACAAGTCCCAGAGGACATATAGGGACCCTGAGGAGTAGGACATGGCACAGGAACCTCAGGGAGTTTCAGTGGAAACCAGCTTCTAGGAGGTAAAGCAGCTTGGCTTTAGTCCCTACCACCTTGATTTCAGACCCCCTTGCCCAAAATGCTTACAGCCTGGGGGTTCACTCCCGTGGCGTACCCCTAGGGGTGGGGGTGCCCCATGCCTCTGTCCTGGGGTAGTGTCTCAGCCTACAGAGCAAGGACTGTAGAGAAGTCCGACAGCGTCCCAGTGCAGGCGATCCCACGGGAAAGCTCAGATTTCCCTCCATAAGCTCCCACCGTCCCATCCCTGCCCGGCCCCGAGGACTCTTGGCTGCAGATTTGGGAGGTGGGGGTGAGGATAAATGCTATTGGATCCCCCCACCCTCAGCATTGCAGGCTTTGGTCCCCGGCGGGTGTTGGGGGGGCAGGCCTGGGTGGGGGGAACGTGCAAAACGCCAACTGGGACAAGTCCGGTGATACAAATAGGCGAACCGGGTCAGGGGTAAGGTGGTAAGGAATGGTGGGGAATGAAAAAACTTAGACCGCTCAGCCCCTACCCATACTCGCCATGAGGGGATGTTGGGTCTGTGGCAAGAGCCTGTCATGTTTCTTCAGAGGCACCTAGAAGTTGAAATTTTAACGTGACGTTTCCCCATATCAAATATTGAACATGAGTTTACAAAAACTTAAAAGATCTCTTACTAAGTAAAGCATAGGAGCACAGGTGTCCAGCTAGTGACCTCTCTTCTACTGATGTGTTGTGTTCCAAGTTATAATCCATATCTGAATGTTTGCCACCGCGGAACGTCACAGAATCAATCTTTTATGCCTCCCCAGTTCTGGGTCATTGATAAATTCATAGGTGGAATGAGGCGATGGAAAGATTTGGAGAGTCCGAAGAAAGTGCGTTTGAATCTCAGAGCCGCTGTTTCCTAGGTATGTGCTGTTCCCTGAGCTTCACTTTTCACATCTGTAAAATGGGGACAATTGTGACAGACGCTGTTGGTTACCAGCAAGTAGCCGTCCCCTAACCCACCCCCCAGCCCCGGTGTGTTCTTGCAAATTCTTTAAGCCACTGTTAGCTGCCCATCCTAGTACTTGCTGATGAAAACCCCCAACGGATCGAATGACACTTGAGAGAGGCATTTGGCCATTCATGGAGATACCATATGTATCCAGCTGGTAGACCTTAGTTTCTCTCGTTCTCTTTCCTTTTTATCTCCAGGCGTTATCCTACCGCTCCAACCCGACACAGGTCCAGCTTGAACTGAGAGTCTGCAATATGCCAAGGATGTAATTTCTCGAAATAACGTCCATTATGCTAACAGCAAAGACAATGACATTTCCACTACATAACTTCTTTTTTTTTCTTTTAAGTTTATGTATTTATTTTGAGAGACAGAGGGACAGCATGCGTGAGGGAGGGGCGGAGGCTGAAAGAGACTCCCAAGCAGGCTCCATGCTGTCAGTGCAGAGCCGAAGGTGGGAGGTGAACTCAACAACCGTGATCTGAGCCAAAATCGAGAGTATGACTCAACCTACTGAGCCAACCAGGCACTCTTCCACTAATGGAAGTTTGAATGGAAACCCTCACCTCCAGCGTGTTTGACAACCCTCCACGAAAAGCGCGTGATGGGACTGGCTTCTACCTTCAGGATAAAACGTCAGTTTCAACCAAATGTAATCTGTTGGGACATAGCTCTGATTTTGCCGTGTAAGGACTTGTGATCACGAATTTCCCTGTACAGGTCTTCTCAGAAGCCTCCCACGTGGTGACCTTGGCCCTGTCTCATTTACTAGATTCCCATGCTTCATGCTCAGAAACCAGGGCAAACTATTTACCATTATCTCCCAGCTGAGACAATCTCCTCAGAGCACCCTTCCCCAGACCTGCCTGCTGTCCCCCTAGAACCATGCTTTTTCTCCTCTTTTTCCCTTTTCACAGACATCTCCATTCCTGCTTCCTGTGTGCCCTTTTCTTATTCTCTAAGCCCCCCCACGTTTGCCTTTTTCACACTGTGCTGGCCTTTTCTGCCCAGTTGGAAGGGACTCAGGGGAGGCAGTATGAATCAGTAGGAACAGTCTGGAAAAACCACCCTTAGAAAGCACCCCGCCCTGCTCCCAGTCTAGCTCTGGCCCTCTCTGGGTGGAGTCAGCAGGTCAAGGGGCCTTCCGTAGAAGCCAGTCTGTAAAACTTGAATGCCTGTATCCATCACCTGGGGATCTTGCTAAAGCGCTGATTCTGTCTGGAGGGAGGAAGCGCTGACATTCTGCAGGTACCATAGGTGTTGCTGGTCCACAGACGGCACTCGGCGTAGCAGAATTCTACATCCTAACTGCCAAATAAGGCAGCCGCTAGTTGGTAAGTGGTTGCTGAGCTCCTGAAATGCGCCTAGAGCCAGCTGAGATGTGCTGGCAAAGCGGAACAGCACAACAATGGCAAATTCCTCGTAAATACCTTTTTATAATTGATCGCAAAATTTAAATTCCGCATGTGGCTCGCATCTGTGACTCACGTTGCATTTCTTTTTTTTTTTTTTTTTAATTTTTTTTCCAACGTTTTTATTTATTTTTGGGACAGAGAGAGACAGAGCATGAACGGTGGAGGGGCAGAGAGAGAGGGAGACACAGAACTGGAAACAGGCTCCAGGCTCTGAGCCATCAGCCCAGAGCCCGACGCGGGGCTCGAACTCACGGACCGCGAGATCCTGACCTGGCTGAAGTCGGACGCTTAACCGACTGCGCCACCTAGGCGCCCCTCATGTTGCATTTCTACTAGAGATCACTGTTCTAGATCATGCTCCGTACTTGGGGAGCAGGGATGTCGTGCTCAAAAGGCTAGGAGCCCATTTCTGGAGACTGCATAGACTCCTTCCCCAGGTCTGTCCTCCCAAAGGCTGAGGAAGCTGCCCTCATGCAAACCCTGAAAGCCAGGGCAGGCCGAAGTGCAGCTATTGGTGGGGAGACGGAGCGGATGATGGGGTTAGGACACCAGGCTGGAGAACCCTCAGGCATTCGCTTATACAAGGCCCATCTCAGTACAGGACAGAGAAGAAGGCTGGGGTTAGGGGCCGCCTTCCTATGTCACCAGAGTTAGTCACAAAATCTCGAGGCGTCTGCGATCCCTAATTTCATCTTGGCCTTCCAGACTGTTAGGCACATATATTTGTCAAGGTATGTGGATAGAACATATTTTCTTTAACAGTTTGTTAGCTTGATTTATAACTTCTAATATTTAGACATACGATATGTGGGCCCCTATTTGGGCTCTGGCCCTGGGCAAGTGAAAAAATTACCATACAGCTTTGTGAGGGACCATTAGTTCAGTGGGGAGAAGTTAAACCCATTTATTTTTCCATGACAGAAAGGCAGGAAGAATATTCCAGGCATCCAGCTGTTGGGTCAGGGACGCTGGTGAGCAACACAGCCAACCAGCTTTGCCTCTCTCCACCGGCTCACATTTGCAACCATTGAGCATCTGGTGGCTTCCTTAGGGTAAGCGGAAGGTTGATTAAATACTGTGAGGGCCCAGGCTGGGCCCTCCTTCTTTTGAGATGCCCGCCAACAGCATCACACATAAGACACAGGAACGCTTGGGACGCCTGGGTGGCTCAGTCGGTTAAGCATCTGACTTTGGCTCAGGTCATGATCTCGCAGTTCATAAGTTCAAGCCCCACGTCGGGCTCGCGGCTGTCGGCTCAGAGCCTGGAGCCTGCCTCGGATTCTGTGTGTGTGTGTGTGTGTGTGTGTGTGTGTCTCAAAATTAAATACATAAGCATTAAAAAAAAAAAACACACAGGAATGCTTGGATTTGAATGCAGGTGATCCCCTCTGGGTCTAAGTTTCCCCATCAGTATAATGGGCTTGATGATAATAATCAAGAGGAGGGCTCATAGGAAGATGAATCGAGATACTATTTATAAAGGACCTAAAACCATGCCTGGCTCAGCCTAAGTGTTCTACAAACGCCTGTTCTTACCGATGCCATTTACAGCTGGGACATCAAAAGTGCAGAGAAGTGAGGTAGTCTTGCTTGAGGACAACACCTAGTTTAGCGACAGAGCTGAGGTCCAAACCCAGCTTGCCTTCATTCCAAAGCCCGTGCTCTTGCCTGCTATCACGTGCCTCTCACACGTGAGTATTTCTCAACCACAGAGATAAATTTGTCTCCTCTTTCATGTGGGGTGCGTTCCCCGAGCTGGAGAGAGAAGGCTAAAAATACCACCGGGTGTAAATCTGATCCAGTAAGAAGGGGTGAGCTGTGGTTGGGTCGGGTCTGGAAGGAAAGCCCCCTCTCCCTGCTCCCCTGCGATGTTTCAAAGGACTTTGGTCTGAAAACGCGCCCGAGCCTGTGATGAGCTTCTGAAACCAGCGCTGGGGTGACAGAGCAGGAGGCCTGGCCAAGGCCCTGTGTCCTCTTCCGTCGCTTCTCCCGTCGCCTCTTTCGGGCTCTCTCCCTGTGCTGGACATGTTCCTTATCCAGCCAAGCCAGGGCCCTCTTCAGGAGCCCATGCACACGCCCGGGGGCAGATCTGCCCCCGACTGGCTTGCTCAAAGGTCCCCGTCAAAGCGGCCCCCGCCCTCTCCCCACACTGGCCCACTCACTCTCTAGCACCGTGCCCCTTCGTGGTCTGTACAGCACTCAGCTCAAGCCGCCCATTTCTGTGTTAATCTGCCCCTCTAGCACGTGAGCCCAAAGATAG